CAAATAATAACTGGAGGCTATTATTGTGGATAAGATGGAAACAGATGCAATGGATGCTAGAACAATAAAGTGGGTCCATACTTTACAAGTATTAATTATACATCAGTGCTGGAACTGTTGATAATTTTTGAAGATATTTCATCGCTACCTAGGGTTTCAGTACATATTCTTTCTTATTTTATCTATATTTTGAAAATTTCCATAATGTAAAGGGTAAGGGAAATAAATCATGTGGATATGTTAATTCCTTTAACACTTGTTAATTCAGTTCCTGATCTGTGCTAAGAGTATTTTAGACGCTAGGGCTATAGTGGTGAAGTTTAAATTCTAGTATGAAACAGTAGACTATAAAACAAACTAAACAAATAAGAAAAAATAAATACTATGCAGAAGCTTCAAATAGGGTGATGTGAGAAAGAGTGAATGAACAGATAGCCAGTTTATATTGGGTAGGAAAGGAAGACCTCTCTGCGATCTGAGTAACAAGAATTAGAGTCATGCGAAGAACACTCTTGCCGGAGCACACAGCTACAACAAATGACTTACACAGAAATGGGCTCGACATGTTGAAATAACTGAAAGAAGACCACTGATCTGAAATGTACCGGGAGAAGGGGAGGGGCTGTGAGATGAAATCAGAAAGACGAAAGACAGCGGCCAGATCATTTAGACCCTTGTGAGAAGAAGGATAAGGAGTTTGGATTCATCCAAAGTGTGACTGAAAAGCCATTGGAGGGTTTTCAATTTATAAATAAAGATTCAGTGTTCTCTGTAAGACATGACTCTGAAGTGTATCCTCCCATCTACGTAAAAGGAAGCTGATTAAGTATGTAAGTAGGATTCATGACCTTCAATTAAAAACATTAAAATGGAAGACAAAAGTTTATTTTTATGCTTATACATAAGTCTAAGTATTGGATGGAAGGAAAAGAATTGGGAAAAACTAATGCATGCGAAATGAAGCACATAAATGGTTACTTTTCTTGGATCCATAGTCATGCGGTTTAATCGGAAGTAATGACCCCAAAGAACAATGATCAATCATATTAAGACATGGTTATCTTTGGGAAAGGAATTTCCAAGAAATGACAAAATTAGTGGTTATCTGGAAATTTCTGTGTTCATTATGATATTGGGCCAAATAAATTGGTCACTACGGCTGAATGACCTCTACAGAGCAAGCCAAACAAGTGTCCACAAGTTCAAGGACAAATAGTTGGATGGAGAAAGAAAGCTTCAGCTCAGTGTCCAGATGTTTCATCAGTGTAACACCAATCAAGCAGATATTGCGAAAGAAGCTGCATACACTCCATAGCTTTCATGGAGTTGTGGACACTGGATTTCCAGGAAAGGAAAATTTTAAATTAATAGCCTTATGTAAAGAGTGGGGTAGGCAGTGGGAACTTCAGATATAGAGTGATGTCCTCTGTGATTCTTCTTAAGTAACTTCAGATTTTAAAAATTTAAGTGTTTTTCTGTTTAGTAATTCTTTGACCTATTTTTACATTGCCACTGTCATCCATTTCATTATGAACTAGTAGAAATCTGTGAAGGTATATGGTAAATGACATATACTCAGTAAATGTTAGTTTCCCGTTTTTCTTGTTTAATCATATGGTTTGGTTAATTTGGAAAACCGTTGAGTATAATGTAGGCAGATAGTCCTGAACAACTATTTTAGCGCTTGCTGTCAACAGGAAGTCCTATGGATAACCTGGCGCTATCTGATAGCTGTACCTGCTCACAACCTACCCATCATCCACAGGCTAAATTTTTCTATCTGAAATTTGCTCCTTCTTTTTTGTTTTAAACTGAGTAGTCAATCCCAGTCATTTAATTACCATTGGTTTATTTGTTAGCAAAACTTGAATGTATTCGTTTACGAGTTCTAATTTCTTGGAACAATTATTTTCAGACAAATATAACTAAGTAGAATACTGAAAACAATATTACAAGACTTTATTATAGTAAAAAATGAATGATTGCTTTCTACTAATTTCTGTGTAGAAAATGGATGTTTTAGCTTAGTTGATTTCCATCTATTATTTGTTTGTCATTCAATCTAAAAAATACATAAAAATTCTGTCTTCTTTTACCCAAAAATGTTGGTCTAAATTATAAAGAAATTTCTTTAGTTCTCAACTTTACTTTTCTAGTTTGGATATATGTAATATATGAAAAAACATATTAAAAAATAATTTGCTCTCTAGTGTAGTGTTTCTTAACTATAGGGCCATGACTTCTGCAAAACTATACTGCCTAATCTTTATCGCTTGATGTATTTATTTTTTGCAGTAAATATGAATATATCTCATTAGGGTAATATTTGTTGGTTTTAATGTAGAACTGAATGGGGAGTAGATCACAGTTTTATTAGAATATGTAATAATTTTTTTCCTGAGTATATAAGAGAGTACCATTTGCCAAAGAAACACAAATTTCTACTCCAATTGTGATGTGTGTTGAACAGTGACCAGGTGAAGAAGTGAATACTTTTATAGATATTGGTTCTTATTGATTTTCAACTTAAATCTCTTTGTGTATGCTACTTAAATCCCAATATTTGAATATATTCCAGGAACACACAAAAAGTGTGATCCTTTGTTCTATACCTTCAGTGACCTACCAAAACTTTGATCCTTGACCAAGAAGAACATGTAGCCATACACCCTTTCTTTGAAGGTAGGTAGTTATTTTATTGATTTAATGCATAATCTTATTAAAATCCTAATAAAGCAAGGATACATTGTTATAGTTAAGTGCAGCCCTTTTGCATGCATTAAGAACTTACAGTCATTTTCTTGATGTGTTTCTAAGGACACAATCACATAACCCTGGCATGGTGATTTCTATGCTTTCTTCTGTATATATAGATGGTACCAAAAGTTACAGCCCAAAGTGGTCTTTTATTTCCCATATTCTTCCTTTTTCCTGGATACTTCTCCTTTATAAACTTTATGCCTAGTTCATTTGAAAAAAAAATACATTTTAAGGTTGGCCCTGTGACCTAGTGGCTAAGTTTTGCACACTTTGCTTTGGCAGCCTGGATTTGTGGGTTCGGATCCAGGACACAAACCTACACCTCTTGTCAGCTGTGCTGTGGCAGAGCCCCACATATAAAATAGAGGAAGACTGGTATAGATGTTAGCTCAAGGCTAATCTTCCTCAAGCAAAAAAGGCATGGGAAAGATTGGCACAGATGTTTGCTCAGGGCTAATATTCCTCAGCAAAAGAAAGAAAGAAAGAAAGAAAAAATACACAGTCTACTTATTCTATTGTATCATTTGTTTCTCTTAAAATAGAATATTTATGATCCCACCAGGACAATCAAAAATTTCCTTTTATTATTTTTATCTGCTGAGAGAATGGATTTCTTAAATTTAAATTTCAGATAATGATTAGCTTCTTAGTAACAAAACCACTGACCAAAATTGCCACTATTTATTGGGCACCTATGTACAGGACTATGTGCTGGTCCTCTTACATCTTCACAAATCTTAAAATATAGATTTTTCCCTCTATTTTACATAGGAGAGATCTTTGCTTCAAGAGAGGAAGTGGCCTTGCCCGAGGTCAGAAAGTTGGTAAATAGAATTGGAATCAGGGTTAGTCTTGCTTCATAGCTAAACTCTTGACAGTTTGACATACTGTTTACCTGTAACCTAATATGAATAGATAATAAGTAATTATCTATTTTGTGTGTATCCTTCATTGGATTACAGGATTATATTTGATTCTGTTGAGTAGACTCAAAGTATACATTTCAGGAAAGACATTCGACTCTGCAAAAAGTCTCTCTTAATTATAAGTTTTGTGATAACATAAACCATAAAGAATTTAGCAACATGTAATCCCATGCTGAAAGTTATTATTGTTTTGCCCAAATATATCATCTAAGTATCTCTATCTTAATTTTTTTACTCATCATCTATTTGTCACATATTCATATATGTGACCAACAGAATTTTAAAAGAAGAATTTAAAATATAACCACCACAAAGATGGTTATTCCCATTGAATGTTACTTATACTGAGTAGATAGGTTGCAGGGGAACATCTCGAGGCCAAGATCTAAAACAGAGCCACGAGATTTGTGAAATATTTGATTTTCTTAAATTTCAAGCATTTTACCTATTGTGAAATAATCTTAACCATTCTATACTTTTTATCTAAAGGCAAAATGCAAAATCCTCTCTTACACTTAACTGATTAGGTTTCAAATTGTTTCATACACAATTCTATATATTTCTATTTTTTACTTTTTTTAGTCATTTTTTTCCTTCTTCTTATTCCCAAAACGCCCTAGTACATAGTCGTATGTTCTAATTGTGAGTGCCTCTGGTTGTGGCATATGGGACGCCGCCTCAGCATGGCCTGAGGAGCTGTGCCAGATCCGGGCCCAGGACCTGAGCCCGTGAAACTGCGGGCCGCTGAAGCAGAACATTCGAACTTAACCACTTGGCCACAGGGCTGGCCCCATATTTCTAAAATCAAATGAAAACGCTTAAGGTTAAATAATTTCTCTTTACTGTACATGTGAAATAAAAATTTACAACATACAATTACTAATAAAAGTTAAAACAATCAAACATATATATAATTAAACTTAAAAAATAAAAAGTATTTTATACAATCACTCTAGTAAAAAAAAACAAAATATACAGTCACTCTAGTAAAAGTTTAAAAAATTAAATTTGAAGTTTCAGTCTAGTACTGTTCTCATGGGTGATTCTTTTTACCAACTACTACTAAATTTTTTCCTTTATCTATATTGAAGTTTAAGTCGAACACATTTTTTTTTGTTTTTTATTCTTCTCCCCAAAGCCCCCCAGTATATAGTTGTAGATTCCAGTTGTGAGTGCCTCTGGTTGTGCTATGTGGGATGCCGCCTCATCGTGGCCTGATGAGCAGTGCCATGTCGGCACCCAGGATTCGAACTGGCGACACCGTGGGCTGCCGAAGCGGAGCGCGCGAACTTAACCACTGGGCCACAGGGCCGGCCCCATAAGTCAAACACATTTTAAAATATTTTTCTAACTAAAATATTTCTTATTTTTCTAATTTTGAAGGTTTCTAGTACAAACATGTCACCCTTGGGTTCTCTCTGTGGCTGTATGGCAGCTTCTTACAAACAAGTCTTGCATGGCCTGGTCTTCTGCCTTTAGTCTGAGCAATATTTGGAGAAGGGTCCTTCTGCTCATCTTCCGGTAAGAGACCTAATTAAACCATTTTGCGTTATGGTGGTTTTGGGTCTGTAGCAAACAGAGCTGCAAGTGGCTATATACTCTAGCCTCTCCCTTTTTTGTGTGTGAGAAAGATTGGCCCTGAGCTAACATCTGTTACCAATCTTCCTCTTTTTGCTTGAGGAAGATTGGCCCTGAGCTAACATCTGTTACCAATCTTCCTCTTTTTGCTTGAGGAAGATTGTCACTGAGCTAACATCTGTGCCAATCTTCTTCTATTGTTTTGTATGTGGGACACCACCATAGCATAGCTTGATGAGTGGTGTGTAAGTCGGCGCCCAGCATCGGAATCTGTGAACCCTGGGCTGCCAAAGGGGAGCACGTGAACTTAACCACTACGCCACTGGGCTGGCCCTAGTCTCTCTTTTTAAAGGAATTACAGTTAAATGTTTTAAATAAATTCCATTCTAGGTAAATAGAATAATTTTTAGGTGATATAGATAGGTATAATTTTTTGAATAATTTGAAATAATTGATAATTTGAATAATTTGAAATATGAAATTATGAATAATTATGAAAACAACTAAAAACAAAAAAAATATTTAGGTGATTAATCCTACCACTTGTATAAATGGTGAGATTTATAAATGGATTTATGAATGATAAAAAGTTTTTGTTTTAATAAGTGGTGAATAGCAAAATCTCACCATTCTTAGCCAAGCAAAGAATGTATTTATGTAATAAATAAGACAGCTTAAGAATCGCTGTGAATTCCTTTTCTAGGCATTGTCTCATGTTATGGTCTTTTCCTCTGCAGAGCTCTCTGTGTTTCATTTTCTGGTGTAAAGCCTCTCTAAAAACAGAATTAAAACTATTCCAACTCTCTGTCTATTTCTCTCCAGACTTCTACCTAGAGTGGATGTAATAAAAAATAAAGTTATTGAACACATGGTTTTAATAATGAAAAACTTGAAAGACATCATACAATATCAAGAACATATATAAATGTCTCAGTTTGCTAATTAACTAGATTTCAGAAAGATTCACTATTAGGTCTTTTAAATGTAGATTTAGGCCACTACATCGACCTGTCTAAAACAAAGTAACAAGATCAGAGTTTTTTAAAGTAATCTTAAAACTTTACAGAAGAAACTTTAGGGAGAAAATAAAAAGAAAACAATCATAGATTGATTAAGTAAATTGTAGAGTAAATATGCAATAGACTACTAGAAAACTGTTAAAAATCCAGTAATTTTGTACATTTTGACATGGAATGATGTTCATAATATATTGTGAATTAAAAAAAATTGTTTTAGAAAAGTATGTTTAGTGTGAACACCACTCTTTCAATTTCCCAGACTAAAACCGTCAATTCCTTCTTGACTCTTCTCTTTCTCTTAGACTCCACTTCCAATTCTTCAGGAAATCTTTTTGGTTCCTCTTTTAAAATATGACATCATCTCCTATGCGATAGGCTCGTATCTCGTTCTCCTTGCTCTTACCTTTGCCTCCCTTAAGTCTGTTCTCAACACAGCAGTCAGAGCGATTTCTTTACAACATAAGTCATATCATATTTATTGTTTGTTCTCACCCTCCAGTCGCTCCCACCTCATACAAAGTAAAAGCCAAACTCCTTACAACAGACTCTAACACTTCCATGATCTCTCATCTCCTACTCTCTTCTCACTCCACTCCCCTCCCACTCCATTAATTTCCTTACTGGTCCTAGAACATACTAGGCATTCCACCTTAAGCTGTTGCATATCCCTGGAAGGCTCTTCCTCCAGATATCCACATGGATGACTTGCTCACTTCCCTTAAGTACTTCCTCAAATGTTCATCTCAATTTTAAAATTGCAAACCACCTTCCAGCTTCATCTCTAGCATTCTCTGGGCCCCTTTCCTATTCTCTCTATTCTATTTATTTATATTTTTTTAATATAGCCTTTCGCATTTCCTAGTATACAATTCAATATCTACTCATTATAGCTGTTCTTTGTTGTCTGTTTCTCTCTAAAGAAAGTAAGGTCCATAACAGCATAGATCTTTGTTCATTCTGTTTACTCCTATATTCCAAATATCCAGAACAGTGCCTGGCATATAGAATGTATTTAATAGATATTTCTGGAATAAAGTTTTTTTTTTTAATAATATGGAACCTAGTCTCAAGGAGCATACGTTACCTGATAGTGAAGATTATGACTGGAAAATAGGGAGGGGTAGATAGAATTTTTATGCTTTACTTTTATATATTGGTACTGTGAAAATTTCTGAAATGGTATCACTTTTATAACAGTAATGCATATCTACAAACAAAAAGAGACAACAAAGCCATCCTTAATTCTATTACATTCAGTACTGACTCCTCCTATGCAATAAAATGGACTTGTATATGAACTTCCATTAAAATACTTTTGTGGCTACATCCTTCAGGCAATGTGATTCTAATCTACTGTTTTAAATTTCTTTTCATGATGAAGGAAAGATTCTTGATGCATGTTTCACTATGAGTTAAGGAGAGTAGTTAAAATGCAGACTGGAATTTGGAGTGCTATCCACCTTTGAGATCGAATTTACCCATAACTTTTGAAGAAACCACAGAAGAAGAAAGAAACCACACAAAACCATACCTTGACTTGATGTGACTCAAAAGACCTGGAAGTCTATGTGGGCAAATGTACATGACAGTTATGAGTGTATCTATATTTGTAAAGCTCATCAGATGGAGTAACATCCGTGATTTTTTTTTTTCCAAAAAACAGCCAGCCTTAAATATAGGAAAAAAAATAGGTAATAGATTAAAGATTTTGTAAGAGTCGAATGTTGGCAAAATATATTTCTATTGGCTGATCATAGCATCCCAAATAAGCAGAAATAAGAAATTGTCTGCAAGACTACTGTTAAGATTTGTGCATGTTTTCTGGGAGGATGAACACTGGAACTAGCAGAACTGCATTGCATTCTGATCAAGTAATTAGCTATTTCCGTATTGAAACGATGGATCAAAAAAAGGTAAATATTATGGGATAAGAAGATTTAGGAGGGAATTGTCAAGAGTGTGGAGCAGTGGCAGAGGGCAGGGCAGGTGGGAGGGGCTGTGAAAGAGGCAAGAGGCTGAGTCACTGGTCGCAGGAGTTCCTTAAGGGACTCCCAAATAAATCTTCGACTTTATTATTGCCCCTACTAATAGCAAACAGAATTGCATCTCTTTCATGCAATCATTCATTCACTCAGCAAAATTTCATTGAGCACATACTGTGTCACAGCCCTGAGGCAGGCAAAAGTGTAGTTTGTAGGAGATTAAGACATAGCATGTGCCTTTGCAAGGGACTGCACTGGAAATTGAATGAGGTCAAGTGTCTGTTGCTTCCTGAACCAGAGCAGCCTTTGTCAAGCTCACTTGGAGCTTTCCCTTCATTTCCTGAAGGGACCCAGCCAGTCCCAAAGCTGCCAGGAGCATGCAGCAGTTTACACAATCCGACTCCAGGCTGCTGGAGCAGCTCACGTGCCCAGCTGCTTGGACGGTGACAGGGAAGGCAGCTGTGCGAGCCCACAGGCCTTGCTTGGCCACCCAGGAGCTGTCCCTGGAGGGGAGAGGCCGGGGCTACAGCCCACCTGGCTACTGCAGGACATTGAGAGGTCAAGGGGGAAGGGCCTGGAGTCTACAAACCATCACCTTCAACACTAAACAGTGTAGAACAGGGCTTTTGGGGGCCTCCTAGAGCCCAAGTAAACAGTGTTAGGAGCTAAGGCTGGCATTCAGCTTCTTGATTCTTGTTGCTTCGTGTGGAGAGGAGATTAAGAGATGGGCTCTGGACAAGCATAAAGCTTAGTTCAAGCAGAAGCTATACAACTGAACATCTGAGTGACTACAAGTGAGTTACTCAACATCTCTGGGGTTCAGTGGCCTCATCTGTAAACTAGAAGAAATGATAAAATCACCCTCATGGGGCTATCATGAGGATTAAGGGAGAAAATGTATGTCAAGTAATTATCATATATCCTAGAATATAGTAAAGATCAATACACTTGGCCATATTGACCTTTATTTTATTTTCCTTTTTTTGTGTGTGTGTGAGGAAGATTGGCCCTGAGCTAACATCTGTTGCCAATCTTCCTCTTCTTTTTTTTTTCTTGAGGAAGATTGTCACTGAGCTTAAATCTGTGCCAGTCTTCCTCTATTTTATGTGGGATGACTCCACAGCATGGCTTGATGAGTGGTGCTAGGTCTGCGCCCAGAATCCAAACCTGCAAACCCCAGGCCGCCAAAGTAGAGCATGCGAATTTAACCCCCATGCCACTAGGCCAGCCCCCATATTAACCTTTATTTTTATTTTCATTTTTTTCATTTATCAGTTTCTGGACCTGCTTCCTCATTTCTCTGATTTATCCTAATATTTATTAGGCACCTCCTTCTTGCCTGACATTTTACAGCATACAAAGCTAGAGGGGATATTGCTCATTTGCTCTAAGAGCTGTCAGACCATCAACGGAAGAAGAGAGGCACCAAACATTTATCATGTACTTCCTATGTGTCAGGATCTGAAAGGGCATCCTATGCAGACCTAGCCAATGTTCGCAGCAACCTCGTAAGTAGCCAAGTAATATCGCCAGTTTATAGATAAGGAACCCGAGCTTTGCCCTCAGCTAGTGTGCGATGAAGCAGTGTACAGTACAGATTTACAAGGCAGAATGTCCTGGAATAAAATCCACCTCTCCCCTCACTACTAAGTATGCTACGTGGTGAGGCCTCATGAGCCGCTCTAAGCCTCTCATTATTTAATCGTAAGACGGGAATAATAGGGGCCGGCCCCATGGCCAAGTGGTCAAGTTCGCGCACTCTGCTTCGGCGACCCAGGGTTTCAACGGTTTGGATCCTGGGCACGGACATGGCACCACGCATCAGGCCATGTTGAGGTGACGTCCCACATGCCACAACTAGAAGGACCCACAACTAAAATATACAACTATGTACTGGGGGGATTGCGGGAGAAAAAGCAGAAAGAAAGAAAAAAAAGAAGAT